ATCCGTCTTCGTACTAAACGAGTTTTACTGTATATTGATTTCGTAGAGACAACATTTCAGAACTATCGTCACAATGCAACAGTTTTGAAAAATGTCATTACAAAACTTCTATAATGAGAAGACACAATATTGAGTAATTTCTACCTACATTTTGCAAAATACACAGAAATTAAAAATGATTTCAGCTCGAAAAACAATTTAAAATTCATTTACCTGATGAGAAAAATAAAATTTTACCCTAAAGGAATTTAATTTCCCTCTGGTCCATCATATTGAGGACAAAATATTTTTTTTTGAAAAGTGAACCGAAAGTCAATTAATAAGGAGGTCCGTACACAGTTAATCAGTGCGTACAATATGCCCCCCTAACCCCCCCCCCTCCTGTCAGACACAGGGTTTACTGGTGAAGTCAGTGTCAACATATTAACATAGAAATGTTGTTTGATTTCACACCATATTTCAAAGAACCATCTCAGTTAAAGGGAACATTAAGGAGAAAGTAAAGAAAACACTTTCCAGTTTATAGTACTATACATGTACATAGAGGCGTCTTAATGTTATACACAGGAGACCTGACATAAACAAACTCAAAGCAGTTTAAATTCACTTGCTTGTTAGGAGTTAAAAGAACCACTATGGAGAAAGGATGTTTGGTTTAAAAATCTCATGGTTCTTTAACTTTCATACAGGATCCAAACTTTCACACACAAATAGAATTTTTCTCTGAGGATTTTAGTCACACTCTGCTCAAAAGTAATTTGAACTTCATAGGCTGGTGCACTGACTGGAATTAAGTAAACTGGTCATCAGCTTAGCATACATGTAACTGAATTCAAGAGTTAGGAGGACTTTTATTATTTTCAATAAAAAACTTCTTTGCCAACAACAGTGTTTCCGATTTAAATTCCGATTTCATGAAAACCACGGAGTCCCTTGTTTATGACAGCCATTAAAGATGTTTTAAATCAACTAAATGGAAAACATATCCTACCTTGTCTTTATTCAGGCAAAAATAGAATTTTTCTCTGAGGATTTTAGTTTTACATTTTTAAGTTATTTGAACTTCATTGGCTGGTGCACTGACTGGTATTAAGTAAACTGGTCACCAGCTCAGCATACATGTAACTAAATTCAAGAGTTAGGACTTTCATTATTTAAAAAAAAAAAAACTTCATTGCCAATATCAGTGGTATTTCAGATTTAAATTCGGATTTCGGAGTCCCTTGTTCATGCCAGCCACTTAAAAGATGTTTTAAATCAACTGAATGGAAAACATCATACCTTTGTCTTCATTTAAATGACATGATAGGACTTCAATTTATATACGAGCTAGATATCTGACCTTTTTAAGGTACATTAACCCTTTGCTCACTCATATGAAAATTTTCTTTAACTTTTATGATTTTCAAGAGGAAATGTACATGCTGAATAAAAAAAAATCAATAATAGCATGGCTTGCGGAGCAAATTTTAACAAAAAAGACAGTTGAACTTGGCAAATTTATATAGGAATTAAAGACATTTGTGTCATCAAGAGTTATCTCTCTTATCAGAGTATCAATGTACCTTTATTAAAACAACATCTTCTTCAGAGGGATTCCAGAATTTAAAGGGGAATTCGGAATTTGAATTTTATATTTAAACAAAAAGATTCCTGACCATTCCAAAGGTAGAAATGAATTTATAAATGCAACTAGAGGTACTGTGAGCAATGGGCTCACTATATGATTCGCCCCGCCTCCCATATGTGTATAAATGACAGTGTCCATGTTTTGCGATGGGAAACCCAAAATATGTGTCGGATCAAAAAGTAAAATAGAAGGTGCACAATGGCAAATATGTAATTATGAATCTGTGAAAGTTTCATCAAATTTCATACAGTGGTATAAGAAGAGTTGCGGATAAGAGATGGGTACCCCAAAGCGTAACAGACGGACGGACGGAATAACGATTATTATATACCCTCCCCCTTTTCAAGCGAGGGGGTATAATAAAGATAATGCTGATTTTAAAAGTAAAATTTAACTTACATGCCTTGTATGTAAATTGATTCCCTATCAGAAAATCAGAAATTAAACCAGGCTTTATTCAAAGAAATGTCTCCCTTATCAAAATGAAATCCATTTAGATACCATTTAAAAGACATTTCTTTTCTGACCATTTAAAGACATTCAGAAGCCATTTTATTTCATCAAATCTTTCAAGAATTCTCAACAGAAAGGGATGACCATTTAAAAACCATTTTTCATTTTATCTCCATTCAAACTCCATTCAAACCCCATTCAAACTCCATTTTTTTGGGGCCCTGCAATGCATATTAACCATTCCAAAACCATTTATGCAAATGAGATAAAAAATGGAAAAATAAATGGTTTTTGTTTTAGCCATTTAATATCCATTTTTAACACATTTTATTTATCATTGAAAATTGAAAATTTAGCTAGGTCCTTAATTAATCCATATGCATGAACAAACACTTTAAAATTCCACTTTCTTAGTTGCTGTAGAGTCAGTCACAAAATAGAAGTAACTTGCTCAATTTTTTCACATATATGCATGGTTTTGAATCCTAGAATGTTCAAATATAATGTCCTTATTTGATCTGAATAATGGTTGTCTCCATCTTTAAAATTTATATTTTGAATCCCAATTGTCCTTTTTGTTGCTCCATCATGTCCATATAGAAGCAGTACTCTAAACATGCTAAAATTTAAAGGAAATGCAAAAATATTATTATTTTTAAAAAATTACATTTAAAGTTTAATCAATAAGAATTTGCAAAAATATAAATCCAAGTTCCCTAAGTCTGACCCAGTTTAAACAAGATTAATCAGTTTATAGATTATTGCATCAGCATGTTTAATGCTCAGAATTCTTTAATATATGTTTTTTTCTTTGGAAAAAGAACATTTTCTGTGCATGACATTAATAAAAATACATACATATTTATACTTACCATTCAAAAAGAATAACGTAATAAGGTCTGTGTATGCATTTGCTGCACTTCTTCTGCCTATACTTCCCAAATGTTGGAAACATGAAAAACTGTCACATTATTATCATCCTACAAGAAGTTAGCAATTCTTTTTTTCTGCATTGACCATCAAATTTAATGTACAGTTTTGTCAGCATCAAAAATCACGAAAAACCTAAATACTCCTTGAAGAATAACTTCAGCCATCTAAACTCACTACAAGCTAGGTCAAAGTGCTCTTGTCCAATGTTCAAACTTACTGGAAAAGGCGGTAACTAAAGAGCATGGGAGGAAATCTGATATCCAGTGCCCCATTATAAGAACCTGGCACATGGCATCAATTAACCAACAAGAAATCTATCTAAAGCTAACCATTTTTTTTCACTTCTTCATTTTTCAGAAAATAAATGGGAGAAAAATGGTCCACTCAAGCAAGTTGGATCACCAAACTGGCATTTCTTTTCCATTTACTCAAATAAATGGAAAGAAAATGCTGCATGTTGACCATTTAAAAAGCATTTCCTAACAGAAATGGTTTTTAAATGGTTCCGAAAAAATGGTTCTGGAAAATTGAAAGATAGAGAAATGTAGGAAAAATGGTTTTAAAATGAAAAATTGCAAAAAATGCTAAATGAATAGAGATAAAATGGAAAAATGCCATTCCTTTTTGCTATGGGCTAAGACATGTAGAATAAGAAATTTTAAGATCATATGTATATGTGGGGAGATTTTTTTTAAATAAAGAATTTGATTTCATATTCATTCATTGTTAAAGACAGTGTCCACAGAGAAACCAATTTCCTGGAACATTGTTAGCTTCTAAAATTTTTATCTTCTCTAAATCCTGACATATAAAATAAGTAAAAACGTATAGATCCTTTCATATAAAATCTTACTTCATTTGATAATTGACAGTAGTTTTAACAATTTTAGCCAGCCTCTTGAAACACATTCCTATTACATCAACACATCATTAAAAGAAATTGATTCAAGATAAAAATTCAAAATTGGCGAAGCCCACTATGCATAAATTATCCCATCTTTCCGATATCGTTGATGTCCCTGGCATACTCTACTAACTAGACAGTGATTCCTTATAAATCCATTTCACTATATAATCAATAGATCCCACCCTAACACCAGAACCCCTGAACCTCAGGCCATAAAATTCACAATTTTGGTAGAGTCACTCTTGCTTATTATAACTATGCACAAAGTTAATACCCAGGGGTAGAAAAAAAGATTTTCAAAGAAATAATGCATTTTCACTATATAATCAAAAAAGCTACCCTAACACCAGAACTCCTGACCCTAGGGCCATAAAATCTATAATTTTGGTAGAGGCATTCTCTTGCTCATCATAACTTTGTACTTCGTTGGTTTATTTAATACCTAGGAGCAGAGAAAATTTTCAAAGAATTAATGCATTTTCACTATATAATCACTATATAATCAATAAAGCCCCATCTTGAAACCAAAACCCATCCCGGGGCCAGTACATCAAGTTGTGACGCACGTCGAGGGACGAAAACGGATAGCAATAGGTCACCTGAGTGACTCTCATCAATATGTACATGTAACATCATATGAAGTTTGATGAAAATATTTAAATACATGTACTTTCTTTTAATCTGAGCTTTAAACTGAGCTAACTGTAAAATGTGACGGAAAGACATAACAAACACTGTTTACCACGGCCATATTCATGACGGGACATAAAACCATTCCTAGCAATCCACAATTTGATACCTATCCTATTATGCTACACTTTTGCTTAAGGACAAAACTAATCCCATAGCTGGAAATATTTTAAGCCAAAGTTCAAGTGTTACTTATCTCATGTTTGTATCAGAAAATTTCATCGAAAGCAACAGGCGTCTATAATACATGCAGGAAACAAAATTGATAACTTGAGTTATATTGGGTAAGTAGGAAATTTAACATTCAGTAAGAAAGTTTCCATATTTCCAAAGAAGAGTTACTGAGATACGTTTTATATTCACTTGTCAAATTAAAATCGTTGGTGTCTGAGCTTGACCCCCCATTACCTATCGATAGGAAGCTCCTTGATGTTAAATCTGTGACTTGACACTAGCCTATACATCAGCAGAAAGGAAAACGCGCCACTAAAAATGGACTCCATTAGAAGCTCACAAATGTAAGTTCTCATGACAAGAATTTATAACTAAAAACAATTTCAAATTCATCTGTATTAGTGTAATCAGTGTAATTTGTTGACAGTAAAATTTGTTTTAACTTTTTACACCACTGAATTTAAAACATAATATTTATCCTAGACATTTTTAATAATAAATTTCACTATTAAAAAGAAATGAATGAATTTAGTTGAGTTGAAAAATGACTGATTCAGTTGATCAAGTATTTTTTTTATTTTATTATTGATGAATTTATTGTAAAAATTATCAATAATGATAATCATATTATAGTTTTACAAAAGTGAACAATGTACCCGCACTTTCTTTAGAAAGTGCGGGTATAAACATTCATTATTCAAGAATATAAATCACTCTTTAATTATTTTCAGTACTGAAGGCATACGATGCATATCAGAGTCAATGTTTATGGGACTGTGTCGTAAAGTGGGGACCTCACAACTGGTGGCCATGAGGAGAGATGTGATCGACATCAGTGATATGGCGGAAAATCAAGCGAGAGAAAGTGATAAGTTCAAAGGAATGCTGAGTGGAAGTCGCAAAGAAGGACTCAGACTGGAAGGATCAGATAATGACATTATGCAGTGGCCAAATGATCACCGTGTGATCTGGAAATTATCTCAGTCTCAGTATTACAACACACATAGACTAACACTAATCCTCTGTGACTGTTCTGATAGTCCACCAGGATTTACTTTGTTATATTTATTGTCACCTAGCATGAATAGAGAAATCCAGAGAGCGTGTGTTAGAATGAATAACAGATATTATATATCTAGTTCTAAACACAGACAGATCTTTTTATCTGAGTCTTCACTACCTTATAACACCACTCCACATGGACCCTGTATCAGTGGAACAATTGGAAGACACGAATATGATCATGCCATCTGTTTTGTCAGTAACTTTTGGCCTCCCTCTGCCTTTCCATGGATAGACAGATGTCACTCATGGCCCCAGCCTTATGTTGTAAATGATATAGTAAAGAATGGATGCCACTTTGTAGCAATTGGACATAAGCTAGGAAATCATGAAGATCATGAATGGAGAATTTCTTTCTCCCAAGCAGAACAAAAACTTGTGTATGTAATGGATCACTGTCAATTCTTAACTTATGGCTTACTCAAATTGTTTTTAAAAGAAATAATTAACAATGGAGTATGTGATGATGATAAATTACTGTGTTCCTATCATATGAAGACGGCAGTTTTCTGGGTGATTCAACAAAATGCAATACCTCACTGGTGTCCACAAAATCTCCTTGGGGGTTTCTGGGTCTGTTTTAAACTCATCCTCAAATGGGTGTATGAGGGGGTCTGTCCTAACTTTTTCATTCCAGGCAACAATATGTTTCTGAGTAAAATTCATGGTGTCAAACAACAACAATTATTTAGAAGACTGTCAGAGTTGTATAAAAAAGGTGCAGCATTCCTGCTACGTAGTCCCTCCATTAGATCTTGTATCTTAGATGTCCTCTATAACCCCAGAAACTCCATCTGTACAGATGATCATACTCTGATTTCTGAGTATGAGTTTGATAGAAATCTATTTCGTGAAATACTATTCTATTACGTAAATCCAGGCAAATTGGACATACAAGAGTGCATTAGATATCTACATACAATAGAACAGATGATAGGTTCACCCCTCCTGACACAGTATCAAGTCGTTATGCTACAGAACATGATCGCTAGGATCCTTCAGTACACTGCTTTTATGTTACACATGGAAACTTACTCATTTGACAACAAACTGAGTTATAGAGCTGACAAAATGTCCTGTCACATGCTGAAATTAACAGCCAAGTTTGGTTGTATTACAGATATGCTGTACATAGCCATGTATTATTACAAGACACTTAGATTCATGGAAGCTTTATCTATTATAGAGATAACCAAGGTCAAGTTAGCACAGCCATATGTAATGCATAGATATGTAGATACAGAGATGTATATTGAGGCTGTAGGGGGACAGTCCTGGTCTACAAAGATGAGACAGGCTGTAGCATGGGTTATCAGACTTCACAAAAGATTCCATTGCATCAGGGAATTAATACCAGTACAACAGTCTCTACAGAATAATCAGGATTTATTAATCATCCCAACCTTTATCCTGTTATACATGCTTGAGATTTTTTGCTACAGACATGTAGACACAATGCGAGTACAAACAGCTCTAGATGAGCTACAAACCCTAGTTCACTATGATCAGGGACAGCTTATACCTTTACGTCAACGAGACATATCGTGGCAGATTCTGGGGATCTGTCAACAGGTGACAGGGAACCTCCAGGCTGCTCTATACTCATTCCAACAATCTCTCAGACAAGAACCATACAACAGAATACACACAGCTGCAGAAATGAGAATACAGAGCTTGTCAATGGATTCCCTTAATTAATTTAATGTCAGATGATATTTGTAGGAGTTCACCTGATAGAGATTTATCATTTACATATCCTCTTCTGATTCTATATTTTCTTTTCTGTCTATTTTATTACATGTATTACAAAGCTAATCACTAGTCTATACAAAAATGAAAGAGGCACCATTGCTTATCATCAATACAGTCAAACCTGTATTAAGCAGCCACCTGCAGGGAGGCATTAAAAGTGACCTTTATAGAGAGCTGAGCTTTGGATAGATGTTCATCTTTTTATAGGAATTTATTTACAAGTATTTCAGTTTATTTGTGTTTATACATAATGTATTTCACTTGAAATATACAAGGAAGTTAGGTATTGGGCATAAGTGATCTCACTTTTAATTTTTTTTTATTCCATTTGAATTCAATGAATCCAAAAAAATTATTAAAATATTTGTATATTGAATCTTACAAGGTAAAAGCATTATCCTCCATCAAAACAAGAAATGAATGAATATTTTATGCAACGAAAAAATCCATCAATTATTATTTCATGAAAACTTGCTTTGTAAAATAAACTTCTGTACATATTTTTTTTTCAAATGCATGTTAGGGATTTTTGTATAATAAACAGACAAGTAACAGTCAGATGTACTCAGTTGGTATTGGTGTTAAATAAAGATTGCCCAGTATTTAACAATTCTTGTTCACAATCCTGCACCACTTGACCAATTATTTACATTCGTAACAAATATGGTGAATCAGCTGGCTACAGATCAGGTCACGTGATTATCTGTCGTCAATTCAATGTATAAATAACGGACCAACATATCAGAAGCAGAACAAAGAATTCCCTCATCAAAAAAATCAGAGATGGGATCAGATGTCATAAATCACTATGCTGTTTTTTTTAAAATGAAAATCTCTACCCTAAGCTTCATGCATTAGAGCAGACATTTATCGCTAAAAGTTTCTTAACAGCAGGGGTTTGTTAAAATCGTAAATGTGACAATGAAACTTTATATGAAATTGTGAGTGTGGCTTAAAAATTTCACTATTGTAGACTTGTTTATCTTTAAACATTTTGAAACTTCTGATGCCCTGTGTCCACTTAATTGTAGGATCACTTTTTTATTGTCATGTTTCCCATTTGGTAAACAAGGAAGTAGAGTAATAACAAAATCAAATTCACTCAAGAAAATCCAGAAGGTTACTTCCTTTGTTCATAAAAATTCAATACCACTTTGTTCATCTTTCTACCAATCTAACTTTGAAGTTTTGAAGCGACTATGAAATTCACATTAAAGTCTTATTATTAACAGTATAATTTCAGAACTTATACTTTAAAATTCACGAAAACCACTGACACTTTATTACACAGGGTTGAAGTTCAGGTTGTTCATGACAGCCATAATAGATGTTTAAAAAACATCTTAACAGAAAAAATACTGTTTTTCCATAATTCAAATGACATGATAGAAATTCAGGAGTTCAATTTTTATACTGTAAACAAACTTTTATTCACATGCTAGAAAATTTCGCAAAGTTCCCGTGAGCCTCATAATCGCGAATATTTCTCGCCGTGAACCAGTCTTTAAAGTCTCTGTGTTCTTTAAAATCTGATATAAAAAAGCATAAATAATGCTTTTTCACTTTTATAATCAAAAGAGCCCCACCACACTAGTACTCCTGACCCTAGGGCCATAAAATCTACAATTTTGGTAGAGGCATTCTCTTGCTCATCATAACTATATGTACTTCGTTGGTTTATTTAATACTTAGGAGCAGAGATTTTGAAGAAATTAATGCATTTTCACTATATAATCAATAGAGTCCCACCCTATCACCAAAACCCCTGATCCTGGGGCCAATAAATCAAGTTGTGACGCACGTGGACGGACGAAAACAGATATCAATAGGTCACCTGAGTGACTCTCATCAGTATGTACATGTAACAGCATATAAAGTTTGATTGATTAATTGTATGTTGTTTAATGTCCCTCTCGAGAATTTTTCACTCATATGGAGACGCCACCACTTGCCGGTGGAGGGCTACAAATTTTGTCCTGTGCTCGGCACTCAGGGCCTTTGAGCAGTGAGGGACCTTTTTCGTGCCAGCACCTACAACGACACGGGGCCTCGGTTTGTATGGTCTCTTCCAAAGGACCGGTCTCCACGTCCCACAGTGGGATTCGAACCCGCGACATAAGAATTGACTCCTTACTTCGTGACTCTAGAACAGACGCTCTAACCACTGTGCCATGCCGGCGACCATATAAAGTTTGAAGAAAATATTTAATACCCATTCTCTGTAACCACTTAAACTTTTGTGGCACGCATAGTCACAGATTTTTTTCAAATTTGGAAAGTACCACCTCATAAACTACTTCAAAAAATATAGTTAGATCATATGTTTGTTGAGTAGTTACCATGGAAACGGTGTCTAAAGTTGTTTTTTTTTTTTTTTTGTGAAAAAATGCAATATCTGGGCAAGTTTTTTAAAGAAATGCGGCTACTTCAATTCATGTTACTCACAGAAATAAGAAAAATAACATCTAACTTTAAAAGGCATGTTAAAACCTTGTTGGTATTCTCTCTATAAATATGAGAATTCTTTGATTAAAATAGCAGACAATAACTTTGAAATTGAATTATCTCCCTTTGATAATTGTGAGCTCTTCAGTGAGAAAGATAAAAAAAAAAAATCATTATACAAAAATGACTGGAAGTTGTTTACATATTGTCAGCATACAGCTCTGTGTATCCAGGAATTCAAGTAAAATCAACTGTTTTTCCTGTTTATTTAATTTGCATACAAATTTTAGCCTCTGTTTATATCCTACATGCAAAAGAATAATTTTGATATGTGAAAAATGGTGAAATGTACAAGCTAGACTACATAGTTCAGGAAATCAGCTCTGTACATAAGCATTAGTCTCAAGGTCTAAGGAGTTTCAAAAGGGGATTCAATATAAACTTGAAATATCAGAATTACTTGTATTATGAATTTGTTTTTTTTTTAAGAATTACTGTGTCTTACGATCAGTCAGAGTGATATACTGGAGGACTGCAATGAATACGGCATTAGAAAGCAAATGAATTTTTAAACTGAATGTTATTATAGAGACTAATAATTTCTAAAAAACTTAATATGTCCTTGGCTGAAAGGGAAAAAAAATTATACTGAATAATAGCTACAATTCCCATCCACAGGTCGTTATTTCAAATTAAGCAATATTTTTTGAAACCCATGGTATAATACATATTATATGGGTTACCTATACAAGCCCCCCCCCCCCCCCCTTCCTAAATGAAAAAGAGTTTGGGCATTTTATATTTTGTTATTGTTTTTTTCTTTGCTCTTAAGACTTTTTTCTGTGAAGAAGAAAATTAATAATTTTCCCTAAAAACATCTTGGAAATAAATGATATGTCCTGCCATGAAAATAAACCTAACTTAACCCCCCCCCCTTCTGGATCAAAGGTCGTCCCCTAAAACATAGTAAGCACAGTCATATTATGCAGTTTTTATACAGGATAAACAAGTATAAATGCATTGTTAACCAGTCAAAAATATACTTTTGATGATTGATGTAGTTGCATAGAAATATAAATTGTCTGTGAATCAGATTTAAAGTTAACGGTTTATCATTTCTCTGGACTAAGATACATTATGATTTAAACTTATAGCAGTTCAATATTAAATCTGTCTAGCAGTATTTTATTATTAATGAAAATAATTTTCTGACCCCCCCACCCCCCCCCCCCCAAAAAAAAAACAATTAATTAAAGCACATTAGCAGATTAATCGAACAGGTCCAGCAGATGTTTACAACAGATTATTATTGATTAAACTTTGGGAATATCACATCTTTTGCGTAGATCCAGGCATATTTGTGTTGAAATATTTACCATCAACATCGCTAAAATCTCATGTTTTTAAGAATGATATTTCAAAGTAAATTAGATTTTTTCGTCAACTTCTCTGAAAAAAAGTGACTGGAAAACACATTTTGACTGTCACTTGAAAAACTCGGATTGTTAAATATGGTTTAAAAAATGTACATTTAGGAGCAAGGGATTAGTTTACTAAAACAGCAGAAGAGTGTCTTTACATGCTTGTACCGCAATTCTCTACATACAAGAAGTCTTGCACTCAATATGGAAAGTGTATAGTCGTCCAATATTCTTAAATGCCTACCTTTATATCAATAAAACCTGAAAACTGTACTTATATAAGCATTTTCACATTATGCATCAAGCTAAAGGGAGAATGTAAAACCAGTTTTCAATAAAATACATTAAATATACGGGATCGAGGTCAGGATACAACATTTACAATACCAGTATTCCGAATAACCGAGTATATATGCATTATTTACAAGCTAATTCAAAGAATATGTGTCCCCTGCTTAAGGAGATAAGAATTTCTGTAGATTAAGAGGGGGGGGGGTGTCGGAGGGTGGTTGGGTAGGGGATGGGACACTTAAAGTAGGGCGGGCGGGACCATAGAGCGTTTTTAACAAAAAATAAGCTAACCTAAACGCTTTTTGAGATATCACACGGAAATGAGAGGTTTACATACAATGTCTTTTTCTACCTTTACCTTTTGCCCTAGAAATAAATAGGGGTCATTTTAAGCCAAAGTAAGTTGTGATATAAACTCAAATTGAAAAAGATCATAGGCTTCTTAAGATATCCCATGATAATAAAATGTTAAAACAGACAGAGGAGTGGGGAGGGTTATTTTTATAAAAAAAGAAAACGAAAATAAATGCCTATTTCCTCCCAATTTCAAAGTGATTAACAGCTAAAACTGTGTATTTTATTAATATATATACTAGTATGTTTTACTTATTTGGGTAAAACATGAGAAAAAATCTGCGTAACATTTAATTACATCCAAGATTTTTTCAAAATATGGTGATGCTTGAAAGTCCGATTTTAATGGAAAATATCATCGACTCCTCCCCCCCCCCCATCCCCTTATTTCAAGAGTTGGAATAAGGGATGATGTACTATTTAGCACTGGTATTAAAATAATGAATCAAATACCATTTAACTGTTTTTTTATATTTAATAAAGATTTTATGACTAAATTGCCATTAATATTGAATAAAATGGTAGCAAAATGTAGGCGGGAATTGAGAGTTAGCGTGCATAGTTCTTTATATACCACTGTGACTTTGAACTTTGACCTTCTGTCCATATGGGCACACATTCATATGATGCTAGTTATTGTTGACCAGAACTGTAATTTTGTTTCTTCATTTGTTGTTTAAAACACAAATATTAGTTATGACACAGAAAAAATGTTGTTTAGTTTTCTTAAATATCTATCAAAATCGGCCATTTTGACCTTGACCTTTGACCCTTAGTCATGAAAATTGACTTTTCGCTTTGTTTTTCCTATTGTTTACCATAGATCTAAATTTGATTTAATCCATTTTAAAATACTCAGGCAATTACATGGATCCTGATTGTATCTACGTATTGTACTTTTCTAGGATTTTGAAAGAAAGCATAAGTTTGTAACCATGGTAACAAGAAAACTAAATATGAATACCAAGTAGTTCTTTGTAGTGTATATTAGAACTATATGTGGACTTTCAAACCAATGTATTCATTTTTTCCAAAGTATCCGCAAAAATTTTTACCAGGCTTTTCAAAAGAGCCTAAAATCTACAATTTTCCCCAAGAAAAATCCTACCTAAAAATGAGGGATAATTTTTCTATGAGGAAAAAGTTACTGAAATACTAAAAATTTTCTAAAGCACTGGAAAATGATGAATTTTGGCAAAAAGGTGAAGTCATGTTGATAGCTTGTTCCATTAAAGACTTTTAATAAGTCAAAAAGGGTCATTTCTCATCAAAATTTAGCGATTTTTAGGCCATGAAAAATGTATGTTGGTTGCCATGGTAACCATGGACCATAGCAACCATTTTATTATGAATTTTAGGTACGTACACCAATATGGGAATGTATGCCAAGTTTCATAAAAATCCAAGACCATGTGTGCCACACTCTCTATATAAGAGTTTAAATGCTTACAGAGAATGGCTATTAAATACTTTCTTTGAATCTGAGCTTTGACTTGAGCTAAATGCAAAGTGTGACGGAAGGACAGAAGGCGGACATAACAAACACTATCTGCCCCAGCCATATTCATGACTGGACATAAAAATTATTCTTAGCAATCCACAATTTGATACCTATCCTATTATTCTACACTTTTGCTTAAGGACAAAACTAAATCCATAGCAGGAAATATTTAAACCAAAGTTCAAGTGTTATTAATCTCAAGTCTGTATCAGAGAATTTCATCGAAAGCAACAGGAGTCCTTGATACATGCAGGAAACGAAATTGATAACTGGAGTTATATTGGGTAAGTAGGAAATTTAACATTTTGACAAATTTGATTCGGTAGGAAAGTTTCCATATTTCCTAGTTAAAAGAGATATGTCTACAATATTATATTCACTTGTCAAATTAAAATCGTCGGTGTCTGAGCTTGACCCCCAAATATCTATCGAGAGGAAGCTCCTTGAGGTAGAATCTGTGACCTCACACTAGCCTAATCAATAGCAGAAAGGAAAATACGCCACTGAAAATGGACTCCATTAGAAGCTCACAAATGTAAGTTTTCATGACAAGAATTTATAACTCTAAAAACACAATTTCAAATTTATCTGAATCAGTGTAATATCAGTGTAATTTGTTGACAGTAAAATTGGTTAATTTTTTACACCACTGAATTTAAAACATAATACATGTATTTATCCTAGACACTTTAAGTTATAAATTTCACTATTTAAAACAAAATGAATGATTTAGCTGAATTAAAAAAAACTGATTCATTTGAGGAAGTATTATTTTATTTTATGATTTTTGAATGTAAAAATTATCAAAAATGATAATTATATTATAATATTATAATTTATAATTTTACAAAAGTGAAACATTCATTATACAAGAATACAAATTCCTCTTTAATCATTCTCAGAACTGAAGGCATACAACAAATATTAGAGTCGGTGTTCGTCGGACTGTGTCGTAAAGTGGGGACCTCACAAGTGGTGGCCATGAGGAGAGATGTGGTGGACATCAGTTATATGGTGGAAAATCAAGTGAGAACAAGTGATGAGTTCAGTGTCATGGTGAGTGGAAGTTATGGAGAAGGACTCAGACTTAAAGGATCAGATATAGACAATATGTTCTGGCTAAATAATCACCGTGTGATCTGGGACTTATCTCAATCTCAGTATTACAACACACAGAGACAAACACTGATCCTCTGTGACTGTTCTGCTAGTCCACCAGGATTTACTTTGTTAAATTTACTGTCACCAAGCATGTGTAGAGAAATCCAGAGAGCCTGTTTTAGAATGAATAACAGATATTGTATATCTAGTTCTAAATACAGACAGTCATTATCACCTGATAACCGTACACATGGACCCTGTGCAAGTGGAGCAGTTGGAACACTAGAATATGATCATGTCCACTGTTTTGTCAGTGACTTTTGGCCTCCCTCTGCCTCCCCATGGATAGACAGATGTCACTCATGGCCCCAGCCTCATGTTGTTGATGATATAGTAAAAAATGGATGCCACTTTGTAGCAATTGGACATAAGCTAGGAAATCATGAAGATCATGAATGGAGAATTTCTTTCTCCCGAGCAGAACAAAAACTTGTGTATGTAATGAATCACTGTCAGTTCTTAACTTACGGCTTACTTAAACTGATCTTAACAGAAATAATTAACAATGGAGTAGGTGATAATGATAAATTACTGTGTTCCTATCACATGAAGACGGCAGTTTTCTGGGTGATTCAACAAAATACAATACCTCACTGGTGTTCACAAAATCTCCTTGAGGGTTTCTCGGTCTGTTTTAAACTCATCCTCAAATGGGTGTATGAGGGGTTCTGTCCTAACTTTTTCATTCCAGACAACAACATGTTTCTGAGTAAAATTCATGGCATCAAACAACATCAATTATATAGAAGAATGTCAGAATTGTATGAAAAGGGTTTAGCATTCCTGCTACATAGTCCCTCCATTAGATCTTGTATTATAGATGTCCTCTATAACCCCAGAAACTCCATCTGTACAGATGATCATACTCTGATTTCTGAGGCTGAGTTTGATAGAAATTTTTTTGCTGAAATATTACATGCTTACCTACCACCAGGCAAATTGAACATACAAAGCTGCATTAGATATCTACCTACAATAGAACAGATAATAGGTTCACCCCTCCTGACACAGTATCAAGTAATTATGCTACAGTACTCGACCGCTAGGGTCCTTCAGTACACTGCTTTTATATTACACATGGAAACTTACACACATAAAAGCAAACTGAGGTATAGAGCTGACAAAATGTCCTGTCACATGCTGAAATTAGCAGCCAAGTTTGGTTGTATAACAGACATGCTATACATAGCCATGTATTATTACAAGACAATTAGATACATGGAAGCTATATCTACTATACATATGATCAAGGTCAAGTTAGCACAGCCCTATGTGATGCACTGGTATAATGTAGATACAGAGATGTACACTGAGGCTTTAGGGGGACAGTCCTGGTCTACAAAGATGAGACAGGCTGTAGCTTGGATTTTCAGACTTGACAATAGAATCCAGTACATCAGTGAACTGATACCTGAACAACAGTCTGCTCTACAGAATCATGATCATCTTTTATGTATCCGACCCTTTATCCTGTTATACATGCTAGAGATTTTGTGCTGCAGACATGTAGACACAATGCGAGCACAAACAGCTCTAGATGATCTACAGACCCTAGTTCACTATGATCAGGGACAGCTTATACCTTTAGAGTTCAGAGACATATCGTGGCAGATTCTGGGGATCTGTCAACAGGTGACAGGGAACCTCCAGGCTGCTCTATACTCATACCAACAATCTCTCAGACAAGAACCAATCAACAAAATACAAACAGCTACAGAAATGAGAATACAGAGTTTGTCAATGGATTCCCTTGAATAATTAAATGTTAGTTGATATTTGTAGGAGTTCACCTGAGAGAGATTTCTCATTTACATATCCTCTTCTGATTTCATCTTTTCTTTTCTGTCTCTTTTATTACATATATTATAAAGCTAATCACTAGTCTATAATAAAATTGAAGAGGCACCATTGCTTATCATAATTTACAGTCAAACCTGTATTAAGGAGTCACCTACGGGATCCATTGAAAGAGACCTGTATAGAGAGGTGACCTTTGGATAGAGGTTCATCTTTTTAAATGAATTTATTATATATAAAAAATATGCCAGTTTATTTGTGTTTATATATAATGTATTTCACTATAAATTTACAAGGAAGTTAGGCATTGGACATTAGTGATCTCACTTTTAATTTTTTTTTTTTTTTGATTCCGCATGACTTTTGTGGATTAATTCAATCAAAATTCAATGAATCCTAGAAATTTAATAAGATATTTCTATATTGAATCTTACAATGTAAATACATTTATTCACCCCCCATCAAAGCAACATTTTTTTTTTTGCGTAATGAATAAATATTTAATGCAATGAAGAAAATCAATAAAAAATTATTTCATCTAAACTTAATCTGTAAAATTAACTTCTGTACGTATTTTTTTAAATGCATGGATTGTTGTAAAATAAACAGACAAGTAACTGTCAGATGTACTCTGTTGGTATTGGTGTTTTAAATAAAGTCTAATCATTAATCTTTATTCATCATCAAATAAAGAATAGATTATACATGATTTTTTTAATTTTTGTTCACAATCCCGCACGGTTTGACCAATTATTTACATTAGTAACAAATATTGAGAATGTATGTTTTAATTCTTGTTCACGATCCCACACCGCTTGACCAATTATTTAGATTAGTAACAAATATTGGGAATTTTTATAATTTTTTGCTCACGATTCCACCTTGCTTCACCAATTATTTACATTGGTAACAAATATTGGGAATCAGCTGACTCCAGATCAGGTCACGTGATTATCTGTCGTCTAATCAGTGTATAGATAACGGACTAACATTTCAGGAGCAGAACAAAGAATTACTTCATAAATAAAACATCAGAGATAGGATCAGGTGTCATAAATTATTATAATGTCTTTTTAGCTCACCTGAGCCGAAGGCTCAAGTGAGCTTTTATGCTCACATTTTGTCCTTCGTCCGTCCGTCTGTCTGTCTGTCCGTCCGTCCGTCTGTCTGTCTGTAAACTTTTCACATTTTCTACTTCTTCTCAAGAACCACTGAGCCAATTTTGACCAAACTTGGTACAAAGCATCCTTGGGTAAAGGGAAATTTAAATAGTTAAAATAAAGGGCCAAGTTCCCTCACAAGGGGAGATAATCAAGAAAAGACAAAAATAGGGTGGGGTCACTAAAAAATCTTCTTTGTAAGAAACACTGGGCCAGAAAAGCTGAAACTTATGTGGAAGCATCCTGGGGAAGTGCAGATTCTAAATTGTTAAAGTCATGACCCCTGGGGGAAGGGCGGGGTCGCAATGGGGAAACAATTTCTTATATAGAAATATATAGGAAAAATCTGAAAATCTTCTTCTCAAGAACCACTGGGCTAGAAAAGCTGAAACTTATGTGTAAGCATCCTGGGGTAGTGTAGATTTTAACTTGTACAAATCATGACCCCTGGGGGAAGGGTGGGGCCACAATGGGGAATCAAAGTTTTACATAGAAATATATTGGGAAAATCTTTGAAAATCTTCTTCTAAAGAACCACAGGGCCAGAAAAGCTGAAACTTATGTGGAAGCATCTTGGTAGTGTAGATTCTAAATTGTTCAAATCATGACCCCGGGGGAAAGGAAAAGCTGAAACTTATGAGCACATGGAAGCATCCTTGGGTAGTGTATATTTTAAAAATGTTTAAATTATGATCAGTGGGGCCATATTATGTATTACAAGGGGGAAATCTGCTAAAGAGCAGAATGGTCAAAGCTTTTCAGGTGAGCGATGTGGCCCATGGGCCTCTTGTTTATATGAAAAACTTCTACCCTAAGCTTCAAGCATTAGAGTAGACATTCATAGCTATAAGTTTCTTCTACAGAAAGGGTTTGTTAAAATCGTAAATGTGACAATGAAATTTTATATGAAATTGTGACTGTGGCTTAAAAATTGTGGACTTGTTTATCTTTAAACATTTCGAAACTGCTGATGCCCTGTGTCCACTTTCTATTAATTGTGCTATCATGTTTTTAGTGTTGTCTGACATTTTATTACCATGGTCTCCCATTTGGTAAACAAGGAAGTAGAGTAAAAACTAAATCAAATTCACTCAAGAAATTCCAGAAGTGTACTTCATTTCTTCATAAAAAATCAATACCACTTTGTTCATCGTTCTACCAATCTAACTTTGAAGTTTTGAAGCGGCTATGAAATTCACAATAAAATCTTTTTATGAACAGTATTTCAGAACTTATATCCAGGTTCAGGAAAACCAGACACTTTTATATACAGGGTTAGAATTTGGGTTGTTCAAAAAAACATCTTAACAGAAAAAATACTGTTTTTCCATAATTCAAATGACATTATAGGAATTCAGGAGATCAATTTTCATACGTTTATCCAAATGCTCGACATTTTCGCAAAGTTTGCGAGAGCCTCATAATCGCGAATATTTCTCGCCGTGAACTAGTCTTTAAAGTCTCTGTGTTAATTAAAAACTGATTTAAAAAAAACTTGATGGCAGAGAGTAATCGTCGCGAACTAGTTTTACTCCTGACCATTAAATCACCAAGTAAAGTCGTCACAAATAAAAGTTGGTTTACAGTACTAGTCAGATCATGTAGATATTCTAATCTAAAAAAAAACACCTAATCCTAATTTTTTAGAAGGGGTTCCTGAACTTTAATTTTACATTTAACCAAAGGTAAAATTGGATCAAATGAGAAACAGAGATAGTGCTGAATTAAAAAGTAAAATTTAACTTACGGGCCTTGTATATAAATTGATTCCCTATCAGAAAATCTGAAATTAAACCATGCAGGCTTTATTCAAAGAAATGAATAAGACATGTAGAATAAGAAATATTAAGATCATATGTATATGTGGGGAGCCTTTTTTAATGAAGAATTTGATTTCAAGTTTGTTGACTTTTTGTTGAAGACAGTGTCCACAGAGAAATAAATTTCCCGGAACATTGCTAACTTCTAATATTTTTGTCTTCTCTAAATCCTGACACATGAAATGAGTAAAAAAAAAGTATAGATCTTTTCATGTAAAATTTTACTCTGTTGGATAATTGAGAGTAGTTTTAACAATTTTCAGCCAGCCTTTTGAAACAAATTACTATAACATGAACTAATCATCAAAAGAAATCAATTCATGATAAAAACTCAAAATTCAATTTTGATCAAATTTATGTAAGATATCCTGTAATTACAGTGTAGCGAATCATAGAGAGACAAAAAAAAAAAAACATGTTGCAAAATTATTGCTTCATCAACTGTTCTCTGCTTTGAAGCAATCAAACACTATAGCTCTGTTTAACGGGAGAAAACTCCTACAACCTTATATGTAATATTCACATCCTTAAAATCAATTTCTTCCTCCCAGTTTGAGAAGTCACATGTAAAACAACCCATTCAGTGTACTAAAATCAAAGTACTGAAAGTACTCATGGGAGTTGACCATGGTGTAAAACAATCCATTCTGTGTACTAAACACAATACAGGGCGCATTCAGTTCCCAACAAATGAATACTCTCACATCAATTGAAGTAATATACCAGCTGCAGAACTGTAGCCTTATGGTTTTATATATTAATCTTTAACCATAATGCTACAGGTCCAGTAAAGCAACAAGAGGTCCATGGGCCTTAAAGGTCACCTGAGCATCATGTAACAACTTTCAAATGATTAAATTTGGTTCATATTTTAAGCTAGATGCTATGGCATTCACAATTTTGAAAGAGGCACCATTGCTGATCATAATTATACACTTAGTAATTGCTTAGTTTGGTAACTTAATACCCATAGGCAGGATATGGAAACAGCAACTGCATTTCAACTTATCAGTAATATTCAGCAATAATCAGTAGTGTCCTTATCACACATAAACCCCTAACCCAGTTGGTCCAAGCACAAGTATTCAAAACACACCTTTGCTTAACAAAAATGTTTGATTAATAACAAGGAGCTGAATTCAACCAATTAATTCATTTCCTATATATAAGAAGAGTGCCTCGATCTTTCTATGATAGAGGCCTTGAAATTCACAATTCTAGAAGAAGGGCCCTTATTCAGCATAATTATATAGGAAGTTCATCTGCGAAATACCCAGCAGCAAAGAAGACGATTTTCTTAAAAGTTCAAGAATTATTCTTGATCATTTCGCAGGGGCATCCTATAACATTGTATGCTTCACTTTTGCTTAAGAACAAAACTAATCACAAGCTGGAAATATTTTCAGACAAATATCACGTGCTATTAATTTCAAACCTGTATCAGGAAATTTTATCAAAAGCAACAGGTGTCCATAATACATGCAGGAAATGAAATTAATAACTTGAGTTATATTTGGTAAGTAGGAAATACATTTGATCGAATTTGATTCAGTAAGAAAGTTTCAATAATTACTAAGCATATATGAATGTGATACGTCTACAATATTATCTTCACTTGTCAAATTAGAATTGTAGGTGTCTGAGCTTGACCCCTATCGAGAGGAAGCTCCTTGAGGTGAAATCTGTGACTTCACACTAGCTTACACATTAGCAGAAAGGAATATACGCCACTAAAAATGGACTCTATTAGAAACTCTCAAACGTAAGTTTTCATGACAAGAATTTATAGCTGTAAAAACAATTCCCTATTCATCTGAATCAGTGTAATTGTTGACAGAAAAATTGGTTTTAACTTTTAACACCACTGAAATAACAAGAGGCCCATGGGCCTTATAGGTCACCTGAGCATTATGCAACAACTTTCCAGTGACTGAATTTGATTCATGTTTTAAGCCAGATGCTTTGGCATTCACAATTTTTAAAGAGGCATCATTGATCATTATAACAAAACACTGAGCAGTTGCTAGGTTTGGTTACTGAATACCCAAAGGCAGGGTAGGGGAGCAAAAACGTATGTCAACTAATCAGTAGTGCCCCTTATACACAGGAACCCGTACCCCTTAGGCCTAGATCCAAACATTGCATAATTTTCAAAAGGCATCCTTGCTTTTCAAAAATATTTGATTAATACCAAGGAGCAGATTTCAAACAATTCATTCATTTTCAGTATATAAGTCCCCCCTTCCCCCCGTCTATGGTACCCCCGACCCAGGGGCCTTCAATTTCACAATTCTGGAAGATTAGAACCCTTGCTCATCATAACTATATAGGTATGTCCACCTGCTTAATACCTATGATTAGAAAGGACAATTTTCAAAGAATTCATGTATTTTCACTATAATATCAATAGAGCCCCGCCCTTACACCAGAAACTCGACCCAGGGGGCA